CCATATATAATGAATAGTTCTAGGACTGTGGAGGAAAATCTGGACGAGTTCTTGAAAATGACCCTAATTCTGAAGGGTATTGATAAAGAACTCAGTGAATCTAGTTTAGCAATGATCCTGTTGAACTCACTTACAGAAGAATATCAGGTTGTAAAAACTGCGTTGCAATACACTGGTACATTCCCTAGCATTAATTTAATTGTCTTGGGTCTAAAAGCTAGAGAACTAGGACTTAGGGTTCAAAAAAGGAATGGGAATAACTTGTTTGTAAAAGCAAAGGCAGAATCGAGTCAGATGGGTAATAGCACTCACTATAACACTGGTCCTAGGAATAAAAAGAAGGGTAAAAGCACACACAAACCAAAAAGGGAAAGTAGGAAGTGTTTCTATTGCAACAAGATAGGGCACTTAAAAAAGAACTGTTTTGAGTGGATTAAAAAACAGAAACAAAATAATAAAGAGAGTAATTTGGCCACCACTAAAAGCAATATTGAGGAATTTGAAGTTCTAGCTGTGTCTAAGTTTGATAGTGTGCAGGAGTGAGTTCTAGATTCTGGCTCTTAATTCCATATGAGCCTTAACAAAGAGTGGTTCCAGGATTTTGAGACTAATCAGCTTGAGACTCTGTACATTGGAAACAATAATGGTTGTAAGGTCTAGGGGATTGGGAGTATCACTTTAAGGCTTAACAATGGGAAATTGGTCAAACTAACTAGGGTTAGGTATATTCCAAAACTGAAGAGGAACTTGATTTCACTAGGAACTCTAGACGAGTCTGGGTGCTATTACTGGGCTGAAAAGGGCTGCCTTAATGTGTATAAAAATAATAACATTGTTCTAAAGGGAGTAAAGAGTAATGGTCTATACATCCTTTGTAGGAACTATGCCCAGATTACTTTAATTCTGCACTGTTTTCTACTAACTTTACTATTACAGAAAAGTGGCATCTTAGGTTGGGCCACATGAGCCGGAAAGGATTAGATATCCTAAGCAAGCAAGGTTTGTTTGTTAAGGATTCTATTGACACTCTTAATTTCTATTAAACATGCATTATGGGTAAGCAACACAGGGTGAGTTTCCAAATGAGAACTCACCTTGCTACAAACTGTTTAGAATACCTTCTTGCTAACTTGTGGGGTCCTGAAAAGGTGAAATCACATGTGGGAAGTAGCTATTTCCTTTCCATGGTAGATGATTTTAGTAGAAAAGTGTGGGTATGCACCCTCAAGATAAAGGATGAGGCCCTAGATAGGTTTAAGTACTGGAAGTTACTTGTAGAGAACCAGATAGATAAAAAAGTAAAGGCCCTTAGGATTGACAATGGGTTAGAATTCTACAATTCAGAGTTTGATCAATTCTGTAGCAATCATGGGATTCTTAGGCATAGAACTATTAAGAAAACCCCTAAGAAGAATGTAGTTGCTGAGAGGATGAACAATACCTTACTAGAGAAGGTTAGATGCCTACGGTTCACATCAGGGCTACCAAAAACATTTTGGGGGGAAGCTTTGAATACTACTGCATACCTAATCAATAGGAGTTCCTCTAGTGCCATAGCCTTTGTTTGCCCCGAAGAGAAATGGTCTAATAGAAAGCTAAACCTAAGTCACCTTAGGACTTTTGGGTGTGCTGCCTATGCACACACAAATGAAGGGAAATTAGAACCAAGATCTATCAAATATGTGTTCCTAGGATATCAAGAAGGGACAAAGGGGTATAGGTTATGGAATAGAAATGCACCAGGGATAAAAATTATCATTAGTAAAGATGTTATCTTTAATGAAAATTTGTTTCCTTGCAAGTCAACTAACCAGGATGCAGGCACCTCAAGCAATGCTCCTATGAGTTAAGATCAATTAGTTGGTACACAAATTAAGGTGGAGCCTTTAGTAGCTCAATCTGAAGCAAAAGACCCTGATGCAAAGACTAGTACAATAGCCTTGGAACCTGATTATGAAGATGAACTAGTAGAAAACCCTCCAGAACCTTAAGATGGTTCACTAGCTCAGTATCAACTAACCAGAGATAGGACCAAAAGAGAAATCAGACCTCCAGCCAGATACTCTTATGTTGATCTAATATATACTGCACTGGTGGCTAGTTCTGAAGTCCAAAGAACAAAACCAGATAGTTATAAGGAGGCAATTAGATCAAAGGGCAGAGATAAGTGGCATGCTGCCATGGAAGAAGAGATGCACTCCTTGAAGCTGAATGAGACCTAGTCCTTGGTTCCAAATCCTAAAGATTAGAAACTGGTGGAGTGTAGATGGCTTTACAAGGTAAAAGAAGGTATAAATCTCTCTGGCCCTCCTAGGTATAAGGTGAGATTAGTAGCCAAGGGCTACACCCAAAGGGAAGGTATAGATTTTAATGAAATATTTTCCCCTATAGTTAAGTATAAAACTATTAGACTCATGTTATCTGTGGTAGCTCATCAGAATTTAGAATTTGAGTAACTTGATGTTAAGACTGCCTTTTTGCATAGTAACTTAGAGGAGAAAATTTTCATGAGACAACCGGCTGGGTTTATAAATCATAACCTTCCCAATCATGTTTGTTTGTTGCATAAGTCCTTATATGGACTTAAATAGTCCCCTAGGCAGTGGTATAAAAGATTTGATGCTTTTATTGTAAGTGTTGGGTTTAGTAGGAGTAAAAATGATAATTGTTTTTATTATGCCTTGGATAATGACATGCATATATATATATGCTTTTGTAAGTGGATGATATGTTGTTAATTAGCAAATCTAAGTCTAGGATTAATGAACTAAAAGCAAGACTTAATTCTGAGTTTGATATGAAAGACTAAGGATGTGCTAAAAGAATCCTAGGGATGATGATAGAGAGAAATAGAAACGACTATGAGCTGAAAATTCATCAGTCTTCTTACTTACAAAAATTGATCCTGAAATTTGGTATGTTTGGTTCTAAGTTAGTTTTTATGCCCTTAGATGGTCATTTTTTGTTAAGTATATCCTAGGCCCCTTAATCTGATGCTGAAGTAATTAAAATGGAACATGCACCCTATGCCAATGCTATAGGGTCTATTGGTACATGCCAATGCTATGGGGTCTATTATGTATGCAATGATTAGTATCAGACCTGATCTGTCCTTTTCCATTTCACTCCTTAGTAGATTTATGTCAAATCCTAGCACAAAACACTAGTATGCTTTAAAATGGGTATTAAGATATATCAATAGCACTTCACATGTTGGTTTGGAGTATTGTAAAAGAGGAAATTCACTTGATCTTGTGGGATTTGTAGACTCTGATTTTGCATGTGACAGGGACACTAAGAAGTCAACCACTTCCTACTTTTTCATGTTGGGTGGGAATTGTGTAAGCTAGAAATACCAGCTTCAATCAATTGTGGCACTCTTCTCAACTGAGGCAGAGTATCTTGCCGTAGCTAATGCATTCAAGGAAGCTCTTTGGCTTCAAGGAATCTCCTAATTATGTTGTTGAAGTGAAGCTTAAACAGTGTCGTTGGATACTAATCCAAACACTACCGTTTCAAGCCAATTCAAGATTCAATCCTGGCCATTGCTTTCAACCTAATCTGATGGTCTTTATCAACCAAACAGGTCAACCTATTTAAGCAGCAAAAATTGGGTAGATTTGAGTTCTTCTTCGATTCTTCACAATAGAGCTTTTGCTAGGGTTATTCAAATCAGCTAAAATTCTTGTAATCTTTTGCGATCTGTGTAATCGTGTGTTAGGGGGTTTTGTTGTCCTTCAATGGTTGAGAAACAGGGTTAGATTTCTCATAGGAAAGAGATTACAATTAGGATTTGAGGAAGTTAGCAAAGTGTGTAATTATTGTGTAATTTGGAGAAGTTGTACATCTTGAATCTCTTGATCTTTAGTGCAGCGAGCCCCAAGTTTACTGGAGCTCAACGTAGATGTAGTCTATCCAACATTGAATAGGTGAACCACGGTAAAATTTGGTGTGTGTTGTTTGTGCCCTTTTTCGTTCTTGATTCTTGATCTATGGTTGTGTGGTTTATTTTGTTGGGTTAGGAAGTTGATAATATCAGGTTTAACATAACATATGTCAATTACAATATACTAACATAATTATGAGATTATAAGATATAAAAAACATTATGAGTATCCTAAAACTGACAAAATTAGGAGATTATGAAATATTCAAGAAATCTCAACAAACCCAATCATAGAATCGGTTAGAGCTCTCCTAGGATTAAANTTAATAAAGATTATGATGCTTACCAAATTCCAAATTAATCTATATATATGTTCTCGCTTGCTGATGATTAGAGTTGGGCGTGGTTTTAAAATCTAGTAAATTTAATTTCTTTATTTCATTTGTAATTCTATAAAACATCTTTATAGTCGTAACGGTGTAACTAAACTAATTTTATGATTATAGAAATGTTATAACTTAATAGAAGTGTAGTTACAAAAATTATTATTTTAACTTAGCCATTCATAATGCAAGTGATATAAAGATAAAATATGTACTATATTAATAATTAATTAATACAGCATATCAAATTCAATATATAGATATCGATAAAAGGTATAGACATATTTAAAAAAATAGTATATATCTTTTTCTAACTATGTTATTAGATTATAATCTTCTCATAGTTAATAATAACTTTAGACTATAAGCTGAATAGGCCAGCTTTTTGTCAAATTCTTTTTTTTTTTTTTAAAAAAAGAAAGATCAAATAAATCAGCCATTCTTCATATTAAAATTTACATGTTGACAGTTTAATTACAAAGTGATCATTAAAGTATTAGTCTTTTCTATAACTATAAATACTAAAAGAAAAGAATTCATTATCAAATTCCAATAATAAATAAATGGGTATATATATATAGAGTAATAGTTTAATTGCCTTATCAGAAATTAGACCTAACCTAGTATGAGTCTGACAACTTGAAAGCATCAAGTAATGTGAAGAAAAAAGTATATCATAAATTTTGACTAATTTCAAAAGTACAAAAAAAAAAATCTAATTAAGTGGAAGTTAATCGTCAGCTAAGTCTCATATTTAGCCTTCTAAGCCATATGGAATGTAAGATCATATGAAACGCATCAAATCTCTGAGCAGGTTTGTTTAACATAAAATGTTTCCTAACAGCTCTTAAATTCTCCTTCAGTTTCATGTACTTCTCCTCAGAAATTGACGTCAACACCTCCTTCAGTCTTGGAATATCTGATACTTTTACCTGTACCGAGAAAGACTCCCATCTCAAAACATCACTTAATGGCAGCACAAATTTTTTTGACAAAATCACTGGTATACATTCTGCATATATAGACTCCACAACTCTAGGGCTGGCCACTTCATACCCACTTGGACACAGGCAATACTTTGATTGGAGCATAAAGGAATAGTAATCCACTCCTTCGGGGAGGTACTCATAAACCTTCATATCATTGTCACGGCCTTTCCAGTTATCCAAAAGGATGGGGCGGATTGGGCCGTGGACTCCGCCGGCAAAGAATGCCAGATGAGGTCTTGGTTCAGTTAAGGGTGGTGGGTTTTGAAGCTTGGTTGGTAGGTAGCCACCGAAGAGGTGGATTTCGGGGATGCTTACATCTTTTTGAGGGTTAAAACCTTCGGAGGAGTTGGCATTGCAGAGGCCTCGGATGGATCTGCTGTAGAGTTGAGGGTTGGCTTCAGATACCAGAGGACCCTGCAATGTATGTGAATTAAGCTAAGGTAAAATAATGCAAGTCTCTGATCAAGATCATCATTCTTCGACAAAAGGTAAATACTAATGCTAATAATCATGAATACTGGTCTGCCATTCTACTATACAAGGCCATTCATGTTAGCTTGGAAGCTAATTTACTTTAGACATTTATGTAACCAGCAATCTACAAACTTAGAAAAAGAGCTGTTCTAGCCCTAAAAGGAAAGTTTTGATAGAGGGGATGGATGATAGAAACTCACCCAATCATGACAGGCAAGCATGAAGTGATCAGCCCCACTAGTTCTATTCCAAAAGGGATGTCTAGTAGACACAACTTTCACATAATCTGCTACATACTGCTTAAGTGGAACAAGATCATACGTAAGAGGGCGGTATAGGTACTCCACCATTGAAGTCACACTGAAAGGCAAAAAGTAAATGTGAGCACGCTCAGGATCACTTGTCCTGAACCTCGTAGTACCATGCTCCAGCTCGTTTATGAACCTTCCTTCTATTGAGTACATTTCCTTGCATGGCCCATCGTGGGCCATGGGGGGTTCTCCTTCTTTATACACATAAACCTTGAATTTCCTCTCCATCTCCGCATAGCTTCTACAAATTTTAAAAGAAAACGTGTACAAAATAGATGTTACAAAGTGTCGATGTATACTAAGTGACATAATTATTGGCAAAGAGCAAAGGATTTAGCACTCATTTTGCTAATTAAATGCATTTTCATAAAGCTACCGAGGGTCCTCTTTGGGGCACATCTACTCTCTGATTGCATCAGAATTAATTAAAGTCTAAAACTTCTTGCTTTAAGATCATGATAAACGACAAACCCGTTAAAAGTATAGGTTATGGTGAACCAATCAGTCAAATGGCTGACCATTTGATTGGCAGCGAGGAACACCTGTTTGATGTTACAAGTTTCTTGTTTATATTCTCGACAATTCATAATTTTAAACGTGACATTTAATGTGTTAACATACTTTTGAAATTTAAATACTGTAAATTAAAATTTTAATGTTATCTATATGTTACACGTACAGTACAGATAAAGAAATGACACGACTTTCTAAGGACACTTTTGTGGCACGGCAATATGCACCATTAATAAAGACATTGAGAGTAAAGAACGGCCGCTTTTATGCAGTAGCTATGATTCAAACATGGGACTATGGAAGTAATTAATTGACTGTCAAAGTTAATGATAAAGAATATAAAATGAGTGAATGCGCACTATATATCACGCATCATGCTTCTTCAGATCCAAGAAATATTTCATTGCACACCCCAAAAAGGTATACGAGATCTATATAGTTGGCATATACGTGTAACTAATAGCAATAGTGCTGGTAACTTAAATAAAGCAGGTATATACGTGTAACTAATTGCAATATTGGTGGTAACTTAGAAATAAAGCATGTACTCATGTTTTTATTATTGGTTAATTAACTAAACTTTTTTTTTTAGATTAAATAATATTAAATCTAATTAAAGTCTAAACTTACTGATAAAATGCTCCGGGGTTACGATAGATGGCCCTTTGAGGAACAATATCTTCGTTTTTGATAATTGACGGAAACTTTTGCGTCAGCGCTGCTTTACGAATCGAAGCTCGTGATCTTGCAAGCCCTTGATTCAGCTCCTTTCTTTTATCTATCTCGCTCGGTGATGATTTTTTCTGTAATAATAATAATAGTAATAATAATAATTAATATATATGAAAACACGTTGATCATCCTGATTATTCGACAATTTTCAAATTTAAACGAACTGGTTTCTCTGTTGTTTAATTTAGTGAACACTAAACATGAAATATATAGAAAAGCTCAAATAAACTTTGAAAGAGAATATAATTCATTCATCGTACTGATTCATCGGGAGTTTCATTGAGATTCAACTAGCAGTTTTATCTGTGTTAAAACTATTTACATTAACAGTGAAATAAAATAACGCAAACAAATCAACTTATAAGAAAATTAAATTGATCGTCCGGATGCAGTAAAACGGGAGTTTCATTGAGATTCAACAAATCAGTTTTATCCGGATCATATTTCATTGATTCGGTGATGGTTAGAAACTTACTTTAACAGTAGTTGAGTTTGTGAAATGATTCACGGTTACGCTGTCGCTAGATGCAGTTGAGTTTGTGAAATGATTCACGGTTACGCCGTCGCTAGCTGCAGTTGAGTTTGTGAAACGATTCACGATTACACCGTCGCTAGATTCAGTCAAAAGAGCTGCTCGGTTTTGAAGATCAGATAATGAACCGACTCTACGAAATTGACGCATATCGAAAGATGAGTGGCTCACGAAGGAGCTAAGATAGTCAGCTGAAAGCATCAAAACAATGACGATCAACGCCAGCGTACAGATTGAGGGGACGAACGCCGTGAAGGAACCCATTCTACATACAAAATTAGATTGGCCTTTGGTGTTTGGTTGGTGAGAAATTGTTTTTTCCGAGAGGGAAAATTATTTTGAGAGAGAGCTTCTAAGTTCTAAGGGCGGGGAGTAGCAGAAAGAAAATTTAAGCAGAAAATGTGTGAGGGAAGCGTAAATTGACGGGTTTGACCTTGTGATAATTTTTGTGGTCTGCCGATATTTTTGTTACCCTCTCCAATTGGAAAAACCACTCCCACTTAATTTAATCAACCCAAATAGCTAGCTTCAATATCCATTGACCAACACAATTTCGAAAATAATTTTTAAAACCTAAAATAACCTTAATGGAAGTCTTAAGGCCCATTTGGTATAGCTTGAATTTATAGAAGAAAAGCTTATTAGAGTAGAACTTATTTTGTTTTGTTAAGAAAATGTAAAAAAAAATTTAATATAAATTTACCAAAAAGGGTAATAAGGGATATTTTCGAAATTTCAACGTTGTAAACAAGTTCTTTCTAAGCTCAAAAAGAGTTACGAAAAAACTCGAAATTTAAGCTTCTCCTATAAACGGTAAAATAGTTTAATTCTAAATTCTATCAACACTTATGAAATACATTATACGACCAAACAACTTAAACAAATTTAAAAAATATTTATTGCTTTAAATAAACTCTTTGGTCAGTAAATAAGTCCAACCAAACAGAGTCTTAACATAAAATAGCATGAGAATAAGTCTCAAGTGTACCTAAAACTGTAGTGTATGCAAATGACCATATCAGTGTTGACTGTAAAAGGGCTGTGTGGATCTTTAATTAGGACCATACATTAGTCCTCACATCCTAAGGAGTGTCAACCAAGCTATGAGACTAAAATGTAAACGTTCATTATAAGCTAAACGGTCACATTCAATTACAATTCTTCTTATTATTTCAATTATATTTTGGCTCCGATTGTTACGCCATTGGAAATACTATAAAGTTAAACAGTAAAATATCTCAAAATATTATTTTATATTTTTCAATTTCGTTTAAACTCCCTTAAATTTGTTAATTTAATAAACACCCCCAAATATTTTTTTTTAGAAATTGTAAAAACATCCCAGCAACTCATATATACCAGATTCCGACCATCACTGCTGGAATCTAGTATAATGGTGCAATGTCGGCTGAATCTCACCGATAGTGCCCCGATCTAGCCTTTTCCTATCAGATCTACGACCAAAGATCTGACTGTCAACGGCCAAGATATGGTTGTCGTTGACCATCAACGATGGCCATATCTTTGGTCATCATTGATGACCAACTACAGCTAGATCTAACCGTCAATGGCCGGATCTAACCGTAGATTTGGCCAAAAAAGGTCATATCAATGCACGACCGATAAGATCCAGCCGGCCATGCATCGATGCGGCGACTTCGGCCACCCTCCGACGGTGGTGGCTGGTTGTTCGTATTTAATAGGTGAGTTGAGGGTGTTTTTGTTGACTTTTAATATTTTATTATAGGGGTGTTTAGTAAATAAATAAATATAGGGGGTATTTATGTTAATTTTCAAATCCTACATCGTAATGCCCACTCAATTTAACTTTTTTCAAAATATTATTCTAAAAACTATCAGAATAATGAACCAAACCGATCCGTTATTATTAACATATAAAATTACCAAAATCTCCATCAACTTTTTTTATAACAAATCAATAGTATTGAGTATTAAACTCACCACATGATAATTACTTGTAAGTTCAAGAGCATGTCAACTAAACCAAATTTGAGCTTAAAACAAGGACTTGACTCATTGTATATTTAGAACTTTAGTAAAAACTTTCTTGCCGTGTTATATGGTGAGGAAAATTTATTGGTGTCTTTGGTCTACAATTTAAAATCTAATTTTGAGTTTTTTGCCGTGAATGATACTTGGGTCCAACTCGAGAGCCAAACTTGGATTTTACGGGGAGGAGCAAAACAGAATAAAATTAGTATATTTTTTTTATAATTTTGAAATTCTTAATTTCTTGAAGAAAGAAATCTCATAAAATGTAATAAGACTTGACTCATTGTATATTTAGAACTTTAGTAAAAACTTCCTTGCCGTGTTATATGGTGAGGAAAATTTTATTGGTGTCTTGGTCTACAATTTCGAATCCAATTTTGAGTTTCTTGCAGTGAANGTAATGCTTCTACTCACAGGATTCCACAACTTGTATCCCTTGATGCCATCCTTGAACCCCACAAACTTGCACTTCTCAGATTTACTGTCAAGCTTGCTTCTCTTCTCCTTTGGCACATGCACATACGCATCACAACCAAAAACTCTAATAAAAGACAGATTAGGTTTCTTACCATACAAAGCTTCATATGGCGTCATGTCTTTAACAGAAGAAGTGGGACCCCCGAGTGCGTCTCCGTTACCCATTAATGCTGAAGTAGTCGACAACTCCAACACTGAAGCTGCCTGAACCAATCAGATTTGCAGGGAAGAATCTATCAGTTGCTCTATAAAGACTTTGGTATGACACCTTTAAGAGTGCATTTATAGAAATGCTTGGATCAGGAACCTTTCTTCTTTTCTTCGCCCAACAAAGAAACAAAGATGGTACCAAACCAAGTCCTAGAAACTCGGAAAGAATTGCAATAATTAATTTCAGTACAAGGGTCAATCTCCTCCTTTCAGATTTGTTAAGCCTACACGTTGGCATCTGAAATTCAGCTATGCCACCACAGAGCTTCTTGTTTCCCATAAGCAAAGTAGCAGTTGCATTCTTTAGAGTGGTAGAGAAGTTGTTGATGCGTTCAGGTAATACCCCTCCAAAATTGTTGTCATTTATAGCAGATTCCTCTAATCTAGTTGCATTGGACAAAGAGCAGAGAAAGTTCAAGTCATTGCGTCCCCCACTTCCGAGACGGTTTGACGTGACAACAACCTAATAAAGTTTATATAGCTTTCCCAAAGAAGGAACTTCCCAGTGAGTGTGTTTTGTGGGGCTTGAAATTGTTCCAAGTTTGAGGAATTGGACAGAGAAGGTGGAATAGAACCAGTTATATCGTAACATGAAGCAATGCTGAATTCATGGAGATTTGGGAGACTGATGCCTAAATCCTAGCGAAGACTCCCATGGAATTGTTTGTGTCAGTGTCCCGCATCAAAAGATGCGATGGAAGAGATATTGAAGATGAAGAAGGTATAGTGCTAGACAACCAGAAACATCACAGCAAGATTCTTCAACTGGCCTAATGTATCAGGAATACCGCCTCCCAAGTTGTTAAAAGACAACGATAATGTATTAATGGATGATAAGTTGCCAAAAGAAGAAGGTATACTTCCTGTCAGTTGATTATCATTTGCAGCAAAAAAATCAAGCTTTGACAAGGATCCAGGTTCGGTTGGAATATTTCCCACCAACTGGTTGTAGAAAAGACTGATAAGAATAAGGTTTGAGCAACTAGATATATTGGCAGGAATTTCCCCACCAAATGAGTTATAGGACCGACATAATATCTCCAATTGCTGCTTCAATTATGAGAAATTGCCTTCTCTAAGTTGCAATGACTTGTATAAACTACCTCCTTTGAAATGTTTTGATCTACTATTATGAATCTAATAAAGGTTAATAAAACTGACTAAAGTAGAATTTATTTTTATTTTATTTTATTTTTTATCCTTTTAAGATGGTACAAGAAAATCAAAACAGTTCGAAATCAGTATATTTTCATAATTTTGAAATTCTCAATTTCTTGAAGAATATTTTTTTTTTTCATAAAATATAAATGATTTTTTATCGTTCAATGGGTCTAATGCAAATCTGACTTAAGACAAAGACTTGACTTTATTAATATTTGTTGTCGTGTCCGTGGAGAAATTTGGTTTATTGGTCGTTAATTCATTCAAAGATTGCATTCAAAGACTACAGTCCTTGATATAAATTTGAACTGTTACCTTTTAAAGGGCAAACAATGACTGCGTAGATTTATTTATTATATGAGTAAAAGATAAAATTACATCCATTTACAACGTATTGCAGGTTGAATATTGTCTCACAAACTTTATTCTGAAGTTATATGGGACATTTAATTATAAAACAAAAGAAAATTACTCATACAATTACAGTAGTCTCTCACCCTGTCTTGGAGTTTGAAGAAGTTTGTTCTTGATAAAATGCAACTGGGCTGTAACATCATCCATGTTCGTCCTTTCACTCAGTGACTTTGAAGAACAAGTAACTCCAATTCCAAATATCGAAATCAAGCACTCCCGAACACTGTGACTTCTCAGGCTTGTCTGTCCTTCTTCTGTTTCTTGAAGAAGAATTGGATCCACTATTTCAATGACTCGTTCAGGGATAGCTACCTTCACAAACTTATGAAGATTCAGATCGCCATTGAACAGCTCATCAGTTGGCCTCTTCCCGGTAAACGTCTCCAATAAGAATATGCCATAACTATACACATCACCATGAGTTGAAACCTCGCTTCCCATACCGTACTCTGCAATTGGAAATATCATATATTTGTACCAAGAACCTCCTTATAAATAATATAGCTTGTATAACCACATTTTCTAAGGAATTTTTTAGGAGGTAAAAATGAGAAAAGAAATACAAGAGTCATATGAATGAATTTTGAGGAATGATAAAATAGTTTAAAGTATTTACCTGGAGCAGCATAACCAACAGTGCTTCTTACACCAACGGAGCTTGTTTGGTTACTTGAAAGGCTATCAGTGCCCTGTGGAAGGAATCTTGCCAATCCAAAGTCACCTACATGTCCTGTCAACTCATTGTCAAGAAGAACATTGCTTGGCTTGAGATCGCAGTGAGCCATTGGTGTTTGGCCATGGTTATGAAGATAATCCATTATACAAGCAACATTAATGGCAATATCAAGTCTCTGTAGAAAATTTAGATTCCTGGGCACCACTTGCAACACATCTGTAGTTAGATTGGGATGCAACCAGTCCTTTAAGCCCCCATTAACCATAAACTCATAGACCAAAGCCTTGAAATCATTTCCTTGGAAATCGATACTTGCACAAACAGTTATTATTTTGACAAGATTTCGATGTTTGATACTTCTCAAGGCTTCACATTTAGCCAAGAAACTCCTGGAAGCTCCTCGATGTTGAAGGTTAAGAACTTTCACTGCCACTACCATTTCGTTATGGTCTAGGATCCCCTTATACACATAACCAAAACTCCCGGAACCGATCAAATTTTCAAAAGAGAACACAGCAGTTGCTTTCAGTAGATTCTCATAGGTTACTTGCGGTAGTGAAGCCAACAATGGTGATGTAGAAGAGGAATTCCTTTTCGTTCTTCTCCACCAATGAATAATTATCAAACATAACATCATAGTTAGCAACATAATTCCAACAACTATAGTAATTATCACTGTTTTTGAAATAGACCGAGTTTGCTTTGATCCTTTGGTGGGATAGTTGGATAAATGTAACTCAGTTATGCCACCATAAAGTTTATCGTTTCCCGAAAGTGAAATAGCATTTGCGTTGCTGAAGACTCCTCCCATTGGTACTTCACCCTCGAAGTCATTGTTAGATAAATTTAAGTTCATCAAAAAGGGAAAATTCTCTAAATATTTGGGTATTTGGCCAAACAAGTTGTTGGATGAAAAATCAAGATATTCAATACCTCTCAAAGAACTCAAGGATGATGGAATATTCCCTTGAAAGAAATTACCATTTATGGATAGTCATTGCAACCTAACGCAAGTGCCTAAACTATCAGGAATTTCACCAGACAATTTATTCTCAGATATACATAGACCTTCTAGATTTTTAAAGTTACCAACATTGGAGGGTAGGGAACCAAACAATTGGTTTCGAGATAGATCAAGATCAATTGACAAGGACGAGAGACCAGTTACTTTAGGGGGTATGCTACCACTTAGACTGTTATCAGAGAGATTTAATACTTCTAAATTAGTGCATCTCCCAAGACTTGATGGAATGGTCCCCTGTAAGTTGTTTCTATCTAGTCTAAGTCTGGTTAACAGTGTTAGATTGCCTAGAGAAGACGGTATATCCCCAGACAACCTGTTCTCATTGACTTGCAAAATGTGTAGCTTTTGAAGATTCCCAATATTGCTGGAAATATGGCCTGTAAATCGGTTCAACCTTAGATCTAAAGCCCACAAGTTAACAAGATTGCCTACTCCTGTTGGGATTTTTCCAAACATTGTATTGTTTGCAACTGATAGTATTCTAAGTTGGGTCGACAAATTTCCATTAACTTTTGGCAACATACCTCCAAATCTGTTATGACCAATAACCAGTATCTCTAAGCTCGTAGCATTTTGCAAAGAACTGAGAAACTTCAAGTCATCTTCTTCCCCATATCCTAATTCATTCAGAGAAATTACAACCTCCGGTAGTTTATGTAGGTTCTCCAACGTGGGCACCTTTCCGCTAAATCTATTTTGTGAAATTCTAAGTGTCAATAGATTTGAGGCATTGGCTATTGAAGGAGAAATGGGTCCGGTAAATTGGTTGGCACGAACACTTAGCACTTTAAGGTTAGGAAGAGTGAAGCCTAGGTCTATGGGTAGACCCCCTTTAAGTTGGTTATGCTGAAAAGCGATTTCCTCAAGCGAAGATATGTTGTAGATTGAGGGTGGAATCGTACCTGATAGCTTATTTGATGCAAATGCAATCACTTGAATCCTCTTCAACCGACCAAGTGTTGCTGGAATTCTTCCTTCAAATTGATTTCTAGTTGCTATAAGTATCTCAAGAGATGACAAATTGCCAATGGAAGGTGGCACTTCTCCTGACAGATTGCTGCAGGTTACATAGAGTTCATGGAGCTTAGATAAAGATCCAAGCTCCCCTGGAATTGTCCCTTCAAGCTTATTGTAGGAAATGTCAAGAACTTCAAGGTTGACACAACTTGATAAGTTTCTAGGAATTTCCCCTCCAAATAAATTATTTTCAAGGCGTAAAAACTGTAACCTGAACAAATAACCAATCTCGCAAGGGATTTCATTGCGAAAGCTATTATTTTGGAGATTTAGAACTCTAAGAAAACTCAGATTTCCAATAGATGGTAATAGAGACCCCTCCAATTTTGAATGAGGAAGATATAACGTTGTGACCCTTTGGTGACGCCGGCTGCATGTAACACCCTCCCATTGGCAAAAGTGAATGGGAATGTTGAAAATAGAGAATTAGGTGATATGATTATAAATGGCTAACAGGTTGAATGTTTCTACTAAGCAGGTAATTTATTCCTGGATTCTGTAGACTGGCCTAGTCATTCTTGGACTTGGAATCACATCATTTTTACAGGGTGATATCAAATCATATATGGATTGCAGAAGTGATCTGTCTCCATAATTCAACGTTCGTCCCTTGCATGCACAGTGGGATCATAGCATTTTCCGTGCACCCATATTTCTTAATGGAAATCGTTTAGTTCATACTATTCTGTGGTTAAATTAATACCAGCAGATCAGAAATTGTGCAAAACTGATTTTTTAAGGGACTTAGAATAGCAATTTTTATAATGTTATAACTATTCATTTGAAGATGTTAGTTCTTTTTCTCTCTTTTCTCAGCTTTTGTATGAAGAGGATCATGAATAACTTTCTCCTTGAATTCAAGCAATGCAAGTCAATCAGTTGCATTGCGTTTGAGCACAGAATTGGCAGAAGCAAAGAAACCATAAGCTTGCAGGCTTGAAAAGCATAAAAGCAAGAGACAAAAACTAACTGAGTAGAAACCTATTGGACTCATCATTCAATTGTGAAATTAAGAAACTCAACTGGACAAGATTTCTTCACAGGCCCAGAACTTAGTGGCAGTTAGGAAATGCTACAAGTCATGTCATGTGCATAGAGAATTAAGGATGTGGGCTGCTACTAGGCAGACTTCTAGTTACTTTCATTTTTCATTGTAAAAGGCTTGGGGATCTTTAATTAAGACCCCACTCCGGTCTGGTCATCAGTCATTCGATTATGTGTGTTGGAAACTCGGAATTCGTCCACCCGTTCACACTTACCTACCGAACATAAATGTTCATTTAAAAGGGCTTTGCATTTGTGCCAATTCAGGATTTTGTGAAACTCTTAAAGATGGATTGTGCGGTTTATTTGACTATGAATACGGAAACCTATGGAAATTTTAGACCCAATTGCTGTTTCAATTATGAGAAATCGTAGCCAGTGGTAAAGCAATTTTGAGTGGCATGTTAACTAAACCAAATCTGAGCATAAAACGAGGACTTGACTTACTTTGTATTCATAACTTTAATAAATGAGAAATGTGGTTTATTGGTGCAGGTTCATTCAAAGTTTGCGTCCAAAATGGCCTCACTTGACCCATAAATTTATATTTCCACAACAAAATTCCAATTCAAAGTCTTATCATATGCCGTATGTGATACTTAATTTGAATCCAACAATAAAGCAGTACTGAAGCTGCTTATTTTAGACAAACTTTAATGTTGTAGCTAAGATCGAGAAATGTTCAAGAAAATGAATATTATATTGAAAAGATTATTTTTATTATAAATAATTATTTATTTCAAAACTTGGTAAAAAATAAAATTACATCCATTTATAACATATTGAGAGTTGAACATTATTTAACAAACCTTATTCTGAAGTTGCATAGGACATTTAATTGTAAAACGCAAGAAAATTACTCATACAATTACAGTAGCTTCTGACCCCGTCTTGGAGTTTGTAGAACTTTGTTCTTGATAGAATGCAGTTGAGATGTAACATCATCCATGTTCGTCCTTTCACTTGGCGACCTTGAAGAGCAAGTGACTCCAATTCCAAATATCGAAATCAAGCTCTCCTGAACACTGTGACTTCTTAGGCTTGTCTGTCCTCCTTCATTTTCTTGAAGAAGAATTGGATCCACTATTTCAATGACTCGTTCAGGGATAGCTGCCTTGACAAAATCATGAAGATTCAGATCACCATTAAACATCTCATCGGTTGGCCTCTTCCCTGTAAACATCTCCAATAAGAGTATTCCATAACTGTACACATCACCATGAGTTGAAACCTCACTTCCCATACCGTACTCTGCAATTGGAAATATCATATATTTGTACAAAGAACTTCTCTATAAATAATATAGTTTTTATAACAACATTTTCTAAGGAATTTTTTATGAGGTAAAAATGAGAAAAGAAATACATGAGTCATATGAATTTCAAGGAATGATAAAATATATAGTTCAAAGTATTTACCTGGAGCAGCATAACCAACAGTTCCTCTTACACCAATGGAGCTTGTTTGATTACTTGAAAGACTATGGGTGCCCTCTGGAAGGAATCTTGCCAATCCAAAGTCACCTACATGTGCTGTCAACTCATCATCAAGAAGAACATTGCTTGGCTTGAGATCACAGTGAACCATTGGTGTTTGGCCATGATTGTGAAGATAATCCACTGCACAAGCAACATTGATAACAATATCAAGTCTCTGTAGAAAATTTAGATTCCTAGGCGCCGCTTGCAACACATTTGTAGTTCGATTGGGATGCAACCACTCCTCCAAGCTCCCATTAACCATAAACTCGTAGATCAAAGCCTTGAAATCATTTCCTTGGAAATCAATACTTGCACAAGCAGTTATTATTTTGACAAGATTTCGATGTCTGATACGTCTCAAGGCTTCACATTCAGCCAGGAAACTCCTAGAAGCTCCTCGATGTTGAAGGTTAAGAACTTTCACTGCCACTAACATTTCGTTATGGTCTAGGATGCCCTTATACACATAACCAAAACTCCCCGAACCAATCAAATTTTCTGAAGAGAACCCAGCAGTTGCTTTCAGCAAATTATCATAGGACACTTGTTGAAGTGAAGCCAACAATGGTGATGCAATAGAAGAATTCCTTTTTGTTTGTCTCCACCAACGAATAATTATCAAACATAGCATCATAGTCAACAACCACATTCCAACAACTATAGGAATTATCACTTTTTTTGAAACAGGTCGAGTTGGCGTTGATCTTTTGATGGAACAATTGGATAAATGTAACTCAGTTATGCCACCACAAAGTTTTTCATTTCCCGAAAGTGAAATTGTACTTGTGTTGTTGAAGACTCCTGCAATTGGTACTTCACCCTCGAAGTCGTTGTTAGATAAATTTAAGTACATCAAAAAGGGAAAGGTCAAACAAGTTGTTGGATGAAAGATCAAGATAGTCAATGCCTTTCAAAGAACTCAAGGAGGGTGGAATATTCCCTTGAAAGAAATTACCATCCATGACTAGTTGTCGCAAGGAAACGCAACTGCCTAAACTCTTAGGAATCTCACCAGACAATTTATTCTTAGATATATCTAGACCAGCCAAATTTATTAACTTACCGACATTTGAGGGCAGGGAACCAGTCAATTGGTTTCGAGATAGATTAAGATGAATTGACAAGGATGAGAGACCAGTTACTTCAGGGGGTATGGTACCACTTAGATTGTTATCAGAGAGATCTAAATCTTCTAAATTAGTGCATCTCCCAAGACTTGATGGAATGGTCCCCTGTAAGTTGTTTCTTGCTAATGTAAGCGAGTTTAACAATGTTAGATTGCCTAGAGAAGATGGTATATCCCCAAAGAATCTGTTCCCCTGGACCTGCAAAACATGTAGCTTCAGAAGATTCCCAACATTGCTGGGAATATGGCCCGTGAATCGATTCCTCCATAGATCTAAAATTTCCAAGTTAACAAGATTGCCTACTCCTGTCGGGATTTTTCCGAACATTTGATTGTTTGAAACTATTAGTAATCTGAGTTTGGTCGACAAATTTCCTATAACGTCTGGCAACATACCTCCAAATTTGTTATAACTAATTTCCAGTACCTCTAAGCTCGTCGCATTTTGCAAAGAATTGAGAAACTTCAAGTCATCTTCTTCCCCATATCCTAATTCATTTGCAGCAATGAGAACAATCTGTAGTTTATGTAGGTTCTCCAATGTGGGCACCTTTCCACTAAATCTATTTTGTAAAATCGAAAGTCTCATTAGATTTGAGGCATTGGATATTGAAGGAGGAATGAATCCGGTAAATTGGTTCATGCCAACACTTAGCACTTCAAGGTTAGGAAGAGTGGAGCCTAGGTCTATGGGTAAACTCCCCTGAAGTTGGTTCAACTGAAAACCAATTCTCACAAGCGAAGATATATTGTAGATTGAGGGAGGAATAGTACCTGATAGCTTATTTTCTCCAAATGCAATTATTTGAATCCTCTTCAATCGACCAAGTGTTGCTGGAATTCTTCCTTCAAATTGATTTTTACTTGCTGAAAGTACCACAAGAGATGACAAATTTCCCAAGGAAGGTGGCACTTCTCCTGACAGATTGTTGAGGAGTAAATAAAGTCCACGAAGCTTTGCCAAAGAGCCAAGCTCCCCTGGAACTTTCCCTACCATCTTATTATTGCCAACAGTAAACCATTCGAGGTTGGCACAGCCTGATAAGTTGCTAGGAATTTCCCCTCCAAATGAATTATTTTCCAGGCCTAAAAATTGTAACCTGAACAAATGGCCAATCTCGTGAAGGATTTCATTGTGGAAGCTGTTGTTATTGAGTTGCAAAACTCTAAGAAAACTCAGATTTCCAATAGATGGTAATAGAGATCCCTCCAACTTTGAATCAGGAAGAACTAATCTGTTAACCCTTTGGTGACGCCGACTACATGTAACACCCTCCCATTGGCAAAAGTGATTGGAATCATTCCATGAGCTCAAAACCTGAAGAGGATCATGAGTAACTTTAGCCTTGAATTCAAGCAATGCAAGTCTATCGGTTTCATTGCCTTTGAACACAGAACTGGCAAAAGCAACTGAACCATAAGATAGCAGGCTTGACCAAAATAAAAGCAGGAGATGAAAGCTAACTGAGCAAAAAACTATTCGACTCATCATTGAACTATGAAATTAAGAAAACCCAACTTGACAAGATAGGTTCACAGGGTAGGAACTTATAGGCACTCATGAAAGGCGACAAGTCATGTAGTGTGCATAGAATATTGAAGCAGTCTTATGCAAATGGCAAGACTGCTACCCACCGTATTAGTGCTGATTGTAAAAGGGCTTTAATTTGTGGATTTTTAGTCCACGCGTTAGTCCTCACATTCTAAGGAGTGTTTGAACTAAATTTTGTTCTCGTTATAGTTTTCGTGAACTCTTAAAGATTTGGAAACTTATGGAACTTTGAGGACCACTTGCTTCAGCCTTTTCTAAGTTGCAATGACTTGTATTAACGTGTTAGTCCAAGTCATCTCCTTTGAAAATATTGTCATAAGCCACACTAACAATCACCGTCAACCAAGCTATTACACTAGAATATAAACGTTTATTATAAGCTAAATGAAATGGTCATATTCGATCACAATTCTCCATTTATGTATGTGTGTATAAAGTGATAAAATTGATAACAAGTGTACAAATAAGACATTTGGGTTCCTTGCATGCAAGAACAATACAGAAGAATAAATCTCATGAGTTTTTATTTGGAATATTTTTGCTTGTCTTCTTGTATTAAACCGTAATTACAACAAATTGTAATGTAATAAACATATTTGCAATAACAAAGATAAAATTTTCAATGGAAAATACAAATTAGTTTTTTCTTAAATAATAATACTATGATGAGTAAATTTGAAAAATCAACTTAATAAATACTTCATTAATATAAATAAGTGAGAACAATTTACATTCATAACTGTTATATATGAATATAAAAACTTAAATTATAAACCACAATAACTCGAGTTGGTAGAACTCTTACGACTATTCAAACTTCAGAGGCATGTCAATTAAACCAAATTTGAGCTTAAAACGAGGACTTGACTCATTGTATATTTAGAACTTTAGTAAAAACTTCCTTGCTGTGTTATATGGTGAGGAAAATTGGTGTCTTAGTCTACAATTATGAATCTAATTTTGAGTTTTCTGCCATGAATGATTCTTGGGTCCAACACAAGAGCCAAACTTGGATGTTACAAGGAAGAGCAAAGGTTAATAAAATTGTATAAAGTAGAATTATTTTATTTTATTATCCTTTTAAGATGCTACATGAAAATAAAAACAGAATAAAATCGGTATATAATTTTGAAATTCTTAATTTCTTGAAGAAAAAAAAAAGCTCATAAATTAGAATACGATTTTTAATTGTTCAATGGCTCTAGTCAATGCAAATTTGACTTAAGACTTGACTCGTTGTACATGACTTTATTAATATTTCGTGTCGTGTTTGTGGAGATATATAGTTTATTGGTCTAAGTTCATTCAAAGTTGGCAACCAATTAAATGAACCCAATTGACTCATTGAAATGAGTTTTCTCATTAAAGAGATTCATTTTTATAGAGTGTAAACAATTATTTTTTGATAATCATAAATTTTCGAATCATGTTAGATATGGTATAGGATTAGAAATGGTATTATTTAAGTAGCATGAGCATACATTCTCCTTGAATCATGGAAAATACAGTCCATTTTTTTTTTTTTTTTTTTAAATGATACTCCACACATAGTTATCGGTATTTGTCAGATATAATCCTATTTAATGGAACACTAAGATAAAAATTACATACATTATTAAAAATTTAAAAAGCAGATAATTAAATCTAAGGAAAATATTTTGTCATACTTCTAATATGAAATGTAGATTTTATAATTAATATTACAAGAAGTTATGATAATATTATACCCCCAAAATCTTGTATTGTATAAATTTAAATTAAATCTTCGGACATTCACGGTATTTCTCTAGAAGTTTTAATTTATTATTTCTTGTTTGGAAGCAAAAACTGGTAAAAAGACTGTTGTATAGAAATACTACACTCCTATTACACGATTGCAATTAATTGATTCCTAAATAAGATTTAAACACTGATTCTCTCTCTTTAATTTATTTCATTTGTATTATCATAAGCACAGGGGCTTAATAAAATTTAATGCTCCATGTTATGCAAACTTACTTGGGCAGTTGAAATTGAGATTCTTGTGGGGGATAAACACATTTTATGCCCATTTCTATCATCATTTTGCTAGATCTAAATTTCCACTAAGATTAATTTTTATTTTATTTTATAGAACCACTGAAGAACTCATGAAGTTAAAATGTATTAGCTAAATTTGTTGGAGTTGTCGACTACTTCAGCATTAATGGGTAATGGAGACGCACTCGGGGGTCCCGCTAACCGGTGAGCGGGCGGGGGTCGCGGGGGCAGCGCCCCCGAGCCCGTAAGTGGTTTTGGGCTTTTCCATTTATAACCGCTGTAGGATTTCTTTTAAGTTACTAATTCCTTTTTGGGTTGGACTTAGGAATAGGAATCTTTGTAAAACTAAGTTTAATCTCTTAAACCTAGTATATAAACATACTTTTCTCTTGTTATGTGTGTGAGAGTAATTCATTCATTGTAAACGAGAGAGGTGAGGCATATTGCAATAATATTGACTCAGCTGGACGTAACCCACATTGGGTGAACTAAGGTAAATCGCACGTATTATTTTCTTTATTTACTGTTTGATTTGTTTTACTATTATATTTTATTCCTGATGTTGTCTCTATTTCGTTCAAAATCAACTATCTAAATGCGGAGTGGACTAGTCAGAGATCAGTCATGGCTAGAATTTGCATCCTTGTGTTTCATGGATAGCTTCCGAAACTGGTCTCTGTTGCAAGAGCGTCGATGACTAGAGCATGGGGGTGGTTGCTGTTGCTCATGTTGCTGCTGCCGGTACAAGGCTCGTAGCCTTTCAATCTCGATTTGGGTTCCTTGCAAGTAAGAACAATGCGGAAAAATAAATTTCAGTGTTTTTATTTGGAATATTGTTGCTTGTCTTCTCGTATTAAACATATCTACAATAACAAAGATCAAATTTTCAATGGAAAATACAAATTAGATTTTGTTAAATATTAATAATACTAGAATGAGTAAATTTGAAAAATCAACTCAATAAATACTCCATTAATATAAATAATTGAGAACAATTTGTATTCATAATTATTATACATGAAGTTAAAAACTTAAATTATAAACCACAATAACTCGATTTTTGTGCACCGGTAAAACTCTTATGACTATTCAAAAGCATCTAAACTAAACCAAATTTGAGCTTAGAACAAGGACTTGACTCATTATATATTTAGAACTTTAGTAAAAACTTCCTTGCCGTGCTATATGTTGAGGAAAATTTTATTGGTGCCTTGGTCTACAATTTCGAATCTAATTTTGAGTTTTTTTGCCGTGAATGATACTTGGGTCCAACTCATAAAATGTAATAAGATTTTTGATTGTTCAATGGCTCTAATCAATGCAAATTTGACTAAGGACAAAGACTTGGCCTCATTTAGTTTATTGGTCTCAATTCCTTCAAAGTTGGCAACCAATTAAAATACCCCAATTGACTCATTGAAATTAGTTTTCTCATTAGACAGTTCCATTTTTATAGAGTGTAAGCAATTATTTCTTAGTGATCATAAATTTTTGAATCATGTTAGATTTAGTATAGGATTATAATACTCTAAGATAAAAATTACAAACATTATTAAAAATTTAACAAGTAGATAATTAAATTTAAGGAAAATGTTTAGCCATACTTTTAACATGAAACGTAAAAATACTTAAAATGGGAAAATTTTGTATTGTATAAATCTAAATTAAATCTTTGGACATTTACGATACTTCTTTAGAAATTTTAGTTTCTTATTTATTGTTTGGAAACAAAGAGTAATAGGACTTTTGTATAGAAATAATTCACTCATGCTACATGATTGCAATTAATTGATTCCTGAATAAGATTTAAGCACAAATCGAAGGTGCTTGGGCGGCGGTGGGCAAAAATTGGCCTCCCATATGTTAACCTTCTTACAAGTGATATTTCAAATAAAAATATTCCTATGTGTGTGTGAATGATATTTAATATATGAAAATCAATATAAATATGATACTCTTTTACTTTTGATGATGAACTAATACGTGAAATAAAAATAAAAGTATTGATTAGTATTTATTTTATTTCTCTTAATTATATTTTTGTTCAATTATATAAATTGTATCTAAACCAAGCTTTAATGAAGTTGCATAAATCTTTCTCGTACTTATTTCAAAGAATAAATACATTGTTGCCCTTGAGATTTTGAAAATATATCACTTTGCTCCAGTAAAATCTGAAAAGGTCATTATAATCCTCGTCAGACTAGTGTGCTAATGCTTCGAAAACTGAAATATCTATTTAACCCCTTTTTTTTATTAGGAATATAATTATAGTCTATAGAATAGAAACACTGTTAATGATAGAATTACAATGACAAATGAATAAAATTTTATTAAAGGGGGCGCTGAAAATTTTACAGTATTCAAAATTGACAAATCCACCCCTGTTGCAAAATCGTAAAAATCAAATTGAAAAAACCCTAACTAAAAGCTTTCTCCTTTCTGACTGTGTGTTCTCCAACTGCCCACGTCGACGTTTGCCGTTCCCGATCTCGTCGCCGTCGTCTCAGTCTTGCGTCGTCTTCGTCTTGTGTTGAAATGTGTTGTCTCGTGCTGTCTCAACGCACTCTAGCCGTTCTTCTTCGTCTTCGAATTTTATCAGGAGGTAAAAATTTTGATGTTTTGTCTATTTGTTTAAGTCTGAAGTCTGAACCAGTTCCTCTGTTTATTAACAAGTGTTTTCTCTTTATGCGTTTCAGCATCCTGAGAATCTAAGACTCACCGGCCATCGCTAATTTAATCCTCGGTGAGTTTCTGGTTTTTCTTTCTGGGTTTATTTATGTAATCTTTTCAAGTCCTCACTTGTGTTTGTTAAAATTGCCGCTGTGAATGGATTTGTTTAGCTTCACTTGATTATTTTGAATGACTTTGCATGAGTTGTATATTCTTCTTCATCCAAAAACAGTAATTGTGGAGTGGCGTGGATGACACTTCAGCGTATAGTTAAGTTAGATACCCAGGAATATTAACCCAAATAGCCAAATAATATGCTGGAATACTAACCAATTTTATAGATCGATTTGCTAATTCATTCGGACCCTGAACATTGAATGGCACCTGAAAAATGAAGTTGTCCACTACCCACTTATTTCCTTTTCAAAAATTTTAATGGGGAATCCACTTTCAAGGCTTCGATAATCTATAATTGATCTTCAGACTATTCCATGGTAGGTATAACATTGTATCAGGTTAGGCAGAAGTGAGAAAAAATAAATGGTTCTTGGTTGGTTTATATATATGAAATTTACAAAAGAAGAAAACTCTGTCACTATTAGATTTAATGATATGTTATGCATGTGGGTGTGTTCATTGCTAGTGTTATCATTTCCAGTAAAGCCAACACTTTGTTAAGAGATTCAGCTTCCTAAGTTTTCTACTCTGTACATGCGTGTTTTGAAATGATATCAACTCAACTTTACAAATTATGAAACCTTTAAACCATGTGAAAATTAGTGGATGATTATTTGGTGAAAATTAGTGGCATGATTGGTGAGCGTAGGTAAGGGGTTGTTGCATTGAAATGGAGTAAAATAACTGAATCATATTCTCAATTATAAAAGAAATGTGACTGAGTTTTAATTAATCCTTTGTTAAAACCTTTAAGATAATCTTTTGTTAATGATCATTATTAATTAATATATGAAATGTGTTCCACAAAATATATATAAATCCATAAGTTATGTGAATGTGACTGAGATTTAAACATCAAATAAACAAATTTCAGATTAGTTCAGGTTTTGTTTAGACTTTGCTATTTGGCAACCCATCTCACACTATCCTAATAAATCCAAGCTTGTTTAATTTAATCCACTCTCTCATTATCTTCCAAATCTCATGTGGGTAGTTAATTTTTAATGCTAAAAATGTCTAAACATTAAAAACTTAAGCTCCACCACATTATTATTAAGTCTAAGATATTGGCAGAATTGTGCAGAATTGAACTCATGAAGGAAAAATGTACTAGCTAAATCAACTATCTAAAGAACTCATGAAGGAAAAATGTAATAGCTAAATCAACTATTTAAAATGCGGAGTGGACTAGTCACAGAGTCATGGCCAGAATTTTCATCCTTGTGTTTCAAGGATAGCTTCGCAAACTGGTCTGTGCTGCTAGAGCGTCAATGACTAGTAAGGTGGTGGTGGTTGCTGTTGCTGCTGCTGGTACAAGGCTCGTAGCCTTCCAATCTCCCTCTGCAATACCTCCTGTTCCACTGAACACAGTCCTCACGTGATTTCACCTTCAGACAAGTAAATATTTCAAGCAAAAAGATTCCCAAAAACTAATGGTTGGACTGGTGTTACTGTAGCCAACACCGGTCCAACCGGTTTTAACCCAAAACAGGGTGAATTCTTATTCCCCTTCTCCAATTCTAATTTTCTAAATTCCTTTACCATTTTCAATCGACGAACGAATCCCTCTCTTCCAGTGTCGAGTTCTTCGATCGACCACCGTCGCCGGCAGCACTGCAGTCGCTGTCAGACGAGGTACTCATCTCATTTCATCTTCACTTCGTCTGCTTTTGAATCTCAATCTACAAAACTCTTCGTCTTTGCACGATTCTTGAATCCTAATTTACTAAACGTTGAGTAAAATTAACAAAACAGAATCCTTTCGATTCTTAATCTTCGAAATCCTTAGTCTCTGCTTAATACCGGCAACCTGTTGTGACGTTTGTCGCCTCCACAAGTTGGTTTAACGAGGTAATCTTTTGGTTTTGTTTTTTAATAAAATTACTGCGATGACGTTGAGTATGATTTCATATTGTTGATGAATGATGATATTAATTTTTTTTTTCTAGAATCTTTTAGAGTTATAGCAAACAGAAAAGTAATTGAGTCCAAGTTTAAAGAAAAACGAGTTTAGGATCAATACAATCAGACATTATTTGGATGATTTGCCTCTCCATGTGAAAATTTTGTAATTCAATTTCATTAAACAGTAAAGCAGAGTAAAGGAACGAGGCCAAGGAGCAATTGACCAAATTTATCATCGGATGCTGTTGAATTGGTTAGTCATTGGAGTTGCTCTGTTTCTGTGGTTTTTTGTGTGTATTTGTTTTGTTGATTTTGATTAGTAAATCACTATTAAGGTGGAGACTAACTTTTGTAATCAAGCCGCCAATGAATACTTTATGAAAATGCTAATAGTTGTTGGGATTCATGTGCCGATAAGAATGTATATTGTGTGTAGGTGGAGGAGAATGGACTGCTGGTTAGAATAGTGTTGTGAGTGAAGCTGTTAGAATTGTGGAATGGAAGAGAGACTTTAATGCAGAGAAATTGTGTTGGATATTCGTTTTTCTTATGGCTATTTAGATGGTTTTACTATTATTCTTTCCAACAAAAATTTAATAAATAAATAAATTGCTATTAGAAAACATGTCCAAGTAAATATGTGCATCAGAATCATAGATGTTGAGTGTTACAACAGTGTTCAAGTTTGTAACGCAATTTTTGTAAGTTTGCAATGCATAAGAATGATGGTTATTGGTTTTTGTAAGTTTGTAAATATGTACGGTTTGCAGCAAAGTTTGCAAGACTGCAATCTGCATTTTTTTTTCATGTTGAAATGAGCTACAATCTGCATTATTTTTATTTTCTCATAGGATTATTATTTTTTTTTTTTTCCATTTTTTCCTGTTGGATGACGTCCTCAGGCTGATGTCAGCATGACATCATCATGCTGACATCAGTATGATGATGTCACCGGTCTGACATGCCGGTCAGACCGGTTCAATCAGTCAACTCTCAACTCGGCCACTTTGCCGGGTTTCATCCGGGGCCAGTTATTAAAGAATTTTCATTTGTATCATATAGCGGTCTTCAAGCTTCTATTGTAACAATTCAGATGAAGGTTTTTTTGGTGAAGTGGAAACTAACCCTCAATTGTTCTATCCTGTCTCCACTTTCACATAGTTGATAGAGATGGAATATGTAAGCCCTGAAGGACTTCGATTGGATGGTCGCCGCCCTATGGAAGTATAAATCTCTTCTCTCGTTATTTGGTTCCTTTTATACTCATTTCTCCAATATTAAATCGTGTATTTGTTTTCACAATCCTAGATGAGGCAACTACGAGCTGAGATTGGTGTCATTGCCAAAGCAGATGGGTAATTTACCACCTTTTCTTTTAATTATTTGTTTGCAGATTAGTTTCAATTTTAATTTACTTTGCCTTGCGGTTTGTAGTTCTGCTATGTTTGAGATGGGTAACACAAAAGTCATTGCTGCTGTCTATGGCCCAAGAGAGGTACCCTTCTCTGTGTGTGTGTGTGTGTGTGTGTGTGTGTGTGAATAGGTCAAAAGTGATGCTCATTCTGTAAGCAATTTACTGTGTTTTTCAGGTTCAAAATAGGAGCCAGCAAATTACTGACCAAGCACTGGTAACATTCTCAATAAAACTTCTTATGTCTTAATTTAAATAACTCTGATCATCAGTGTTTGTATACTTCTCAGGTGCGCTGTGAGTACAGCATGGCTAATTTTAGTACTGGAGATCGTATGAGAAAACCGAAGGGTGACAGGTTGGAACATATTCTTTATAGTCTGTAATATGTTTTAAAACTTAATTTACAAGTATTCACATCAGTATACAAATTGCTTACATGTATTGAATTGAGTGGAAAATTGACTGTACATGCACCAGGATATGGATAAAGTTTGGGTTGTAATTTTTTAATCTGAGGTTCACTGGGTTATGCCTAAATGATGGTTGATTTTCAGGGTTTTGGGAAAAAATATTCTAAAAAGAGTGAATTGTTACTCATGGAGGAATTGACATTCGTGTTTGTTTTGGAACTTGTTGTTAGCAATAAGTTTTAGAGCCTTTAGATGTATCTGTGATTTGTTTTGAACAATTACTTTGCTTTTGGTACATCTTAATTGATGATTATTATTTTAGGAGTATATTTTGTTGTTTAATACATGACTATTTTCATGGTACACCTAGGCGATCAACAGAGATATCTCTTGTTATTCGTCAGACAATGGAAGCATGCATATTGACCAATTTAATGCCTCGTTCTCAGGTATGTTACAGATTATTGGGAACCCTTTCTAGTTTCTAAACAGGATTGGTTTTTTCTAAATACTTCTTTGCTGATCTGCAGATAGATATTTTTGTACAAGTTCTACAAGCAGATGGAGGTAACTCATACCTCAGTATATGACCATGCATTTATATAATTTGAGCTATTGGAATGGAAACTGGAAAAAATAATTTCAGATTTCTTGTACTTGGTTTGTTAGTGAACTAGTGTGCATTTCATTAGTTAAAGGGGTAGTGTGGTTGCTCCATATAGACTTTCTATGAGGTTACCCTTGCCTCGCAATTGGTGATGGTCAACTTGCAGACTTCCATTTCTTTTACTTTTGTTTGTTCATTGAAGAAGAAACATAAGCGGACATAAGAGCTGATCTATGTATATGAAAGAGGTCGAAGAGACTAATAGAAAGTACAATTGACATATTCTCCTCAAGTTCTAAACTGGAGTAAATCTTTCATATGTCTTACCCTGTCTCACCGTGCCCTCTTTCTTTGGGTCTCTCAAGTTCTTTGTCCCTTTTTTGCCACCCTTAACTGTATTAACCCAAACTTGATCAGTCTTGGGGTGGCATTGATTATGTGAACATTGTTTGCTACCCTATTCATAGGCAGCATAAATCGCTTAGGACTAGCAGTTTCATTTAATTCTAAATGGCTGCTAAAGTGTTAAGTGTTAGGGCTCATTTTCTATGAAAAAGAAGAAAGAATTTCTTGTTGATTTGGGACTTGTTGTCTGCAGGAACTCGATCTGCATGTATTCATGCTTGCGACATTAGCGCTTGCAGATGCTGGGATTCCAATGCGTGATATTGTTACTTCTGTAGTGCTGGATACCTCATAGTACTCCTTTTCTTGGTATAGTCATTTTCCTCATCTTTTTCTTGAAGCAGTATGATTTGTTTTTCAATTAGATATTATGGTATGGTATTAATTTTGTACACTTGATTACCATACTGAAGATTTGTGATGTGGGCAGATTTGAATTATGTGAAGATAGTGCTGGAGGTCCTGATGTCACTGTAGGCATTCTACCTACATTGGACAAAGTTACTCTCCTTCAGGTTTTTGTCTAAAATTCTGCTTTCTTGTTTATGACTGTGCTCATGAAAATTACATGTTGCATTATAGCTTCAAATCTCAGATGTATGGAGTTGGTTCATGTATTGTCTTCATAAACATTGCCTTTTGGTTTATATGAATTGTTGGTTTCATTTATACAGTAGTGGTTGCAAAGAAGTGAATGTTGATCCTGGTTCACATGGTAATCAAATAAAAGAAAGAAGGTGCTGCTTTTGCTACAGTGGTTAAAACCGTACCAGTTATTAGCATTTGATCTTTTTCAGATGGCATGAAATTAAGTCTCTCTGCTAGAATTTTTTCTCTTCTTTTCTCTGTAATGCTGAATCTCTTTAGCCAGGTTTAGGCCAAACCCTTCTCTCAGGCTGTCATGTTATCATTTAGGAATTTGGTATCCTTTGATGAATGGTTGATGTTGTGTTGCTAGCTGGTTGAAATAATTTCAAACTAAACAGGCATGCTTCTATTAATCACAATTAGTTGAACAAGATATATCGGTTTGGTTCAGGTTCTTTTGAACACTTTTGTCATTCTAGTTTCTGGCACAGTTTTTAATGTTTTTGAAGTGTGGAATGTAATCTTAACTGTTGACATTATATCCTTTGTTTTTTGTACCGTTATTACCTCATCATTGAGGTTTATGCATATGTTGATTATCAGAGTTTCAAGTTATTTGGAAAAAATTTACTCCTAGAGCTCTCATTTCTGACATTTTCTGGACAGATGGATGCTAAGTACCAACTACATTTGAAGATGTCATGCAACTTGCTACTGAAGGCTGCAGGCAGTAGCAAATTATATCGAGAAGTAAAAACTTCTTTTTTCTGTCATAATTTTCCTTGTCTTGATTTTGTGAATTTAGTTTGATTGTCTTCTGGACCTATGTGTATAATTATTCCAATGGTATTCATTTGTTTATTTATCATTAATTCCCTAACAACATACTTGATTATTGCTTGCATGAATTGTTAGGATCATTGATTGAATTGCTTGGCAGGTACTACTAGAGATACCAAGCAGCTGGGTGTCACGAGGTTCATAATTGCTAATTACAGTGGGTAAGTTAAAACCCCTTCGTTATTTATTATTTATTTATTTTTATTTTGGTGGGGGGAATTTTTTGATAACCAGAAAGCTCAAATGGAATTAAAAAAACAAGCTACTCATTGATGCTGATGCTTGGTGTGAGATGGCTGAATCTCATTCCAACATGTTGGATAAAGGAATGTATAAAGAAAGAAAAAGAACACATTTCATTCCTTTCTTTAGATGCAGCTTCTTTGGTACTAGTATTTTCTCAATACCTGCTTTTTCTTTCCAAAACAGAATCTATTAGGGAATCCGTTGCAGTTTAACTTTCATCTCTGTGAATGGGAATGTTGAAATAGAGACTTAGGGGATATGATATTATAAATGGCTAACAAGTTGAAAGTTTCTACAAAGCAGGTAATTAATTCCTGGATTCCGTAGAACTGGCCTAGTCATTCTTGGACTTGGAATCGTATCATTTTTATAGGGTGATATCAAATCATTTATGATTGCAAAAGTGATATGTCTCCTTAATTCAACATTCGTCCCTTGCATATGCACAGTGGGATCATAGCATTTTCCGTGCATCCACCAGCAGCTAGAATTGTGCAAAACTGATTTTTAAGGGACTTAGATAGCAAGTACTGAGACCCAAAAAAAAAAAAAAAATTTGTAATGTTAAGATATTCATTAGAAGATGTTATTTCTCTCTTTTCTCTGCTTTTGTATGCATATTTTCGAAGAAAGAAGAAAAAATAGATGCCATGAATAGGATCATGAATAACTTTCTCCTGAATTCAAGCAATGCAAGTCAGATCAGTTTCCTTGCGTTTGAGCGCAGAATTGGCAGAAGCGATATATAAGCTTGTAGGCTTGAAAAACATAAAAGCTAACTGAGCAGAAACCCATTGGACTCATCGGTTCAATTGTGAAATTAAAAAACCCGACAAGATTTCTTCACAGGCTGAGAACTTATAGAAATGGTCTTCTCTAAGTTGCAATGACTTGTGTTAACTACCTCCTTTGAAATGTGTGTCAAAGGCAAGTTATGACACTAAATATGGTTCATGATTGTTGAATTAAATTTCTTTAATTCTTCTTGTTATTTCAATTATTGATCTTATGTTTTTTAAAATTAACAAAATCTCTATCGACTTCTATATCACAAATCAAAGTTAATTCTTGTAAGATTCGTCACAATCAAACCATGCAAATCAATCATTACATTTGAAGGTGACCCCATTTCAAAAATCAAACTTTTATCTCCAAACAAATAAATTTTATCATACATAGTACAGTTAATTTCATTTAAAGTTTGCATCCACAATGGCCCCAATTGACTCGTAAATATTTTCCACAATATAAAATTCAAATTCAAAGTTTTATCATACACTACACTGGTTTGATATAATTTGAACACTTACCTTCTAAGGGCAAACAATGGTGCACAGATTTATTTATTATATGAGTGAAAAAAAAAAAAATACACCCATTTATAACATATTGCGAGTTGAACATTGTTTAACAAACCTTATTCTAAAGTTGTATAGCATTTAATTATGAAACGCAAGAAAATTACTTATATAGTTACAGTAGCCTTGACCCCGTCTTGGAGTTGTAGAAGTTTTTTTGATAGAATGCAGTTGGGTTGTAACATCATCCATGTATCCTTTCACGGCAACCTGAGAGCAAGTGACTCCAATTCCAAATATCGCAATCAAGCACTCCGAACACTGTGAATTCTCAAGCTTGTTTGTCCTTCTTCTGTTTCCTGAAGAAGAATTGGATCCACTATTTCAATGACTCGTAGAGATGCTGCCTTGACAAACATTGAAGTTCATATCACCATTAAATATCTCATCGGTCGGCCTCTTCCCTGTAAACATCTCCAATAAGAGTATCCATAACTGTACACATCACCTTGAGTTGAAACCTCACTTCCCATGCCGTACTCTGCAATTGGAAATATCATATATTTGTACAAAGAACTTCTCTATAAATAATATAGTTTGTATAACACATTTTCTAAGGAATTTTTATGAGGTAAAAATAAGAAAAAAAATACATGAGTCATATGAATTTCAAGAAATGATAAAATAAAGTTCACAGTTTTACCTGGAGCAGCATACCAACAGTTCCTCTTACACCAATGGAGCTTGTTTGATTACTTGAAGACTATGGGTGCCCTCTGGAAGGAATCTTGCCAATCCAAAGTCACCTACAGTGCCGTCAACTCATCGTCAAGAAGAACATTGCTTGGCTTGAGATCGCAATGAACCATTGGTGTTTGGCATCGTTATGAAGATAACCACTGCACAAGCAACATTGATAGCAATATCAAGTCTTTGTAGAAAGTTTAGGGCTCCGTTTGTTGCCAATTGGAATACTATTTTAGTATTCCAAAAAAGTTAAACAGTAAAATACCCAAAAACTCACAATATTTCAACTTTATTCAACATTTTTTAAACCCCCTAAATTGTTAATTCAATTAAATACCCTAAATATTTTAATGTTTTTGTTACAGCAACTCCGGCCACCCTCCGGCGGTAGTGGCCGGCTGTCCGTATTGACATGGGTGGGGGTTTTTTGTAACTTTTAAGATTTTATTATAGGGGGTGTTTTGTAAAGACACAATATGGGGGTATTTTATTAATTTATAAATCCTACATCGTAATACCCACCAATTCAACTTTTTTTTTACTTTTTTCAAAAAACTTTTCCCAAAAACACCCAATTGTGAACCAAACGGAGCTAGATTCCTCGGCGCCTTTGTAAGACATCTGTAGTTACATGGGATGCAACCACTCCTCCAAGCTCCCATTAACCATAAACTCGTAGATCAAAGCCTTGAAATCATTTCCTTGGAAATCAACACTTGCACTCTGACACTTCTCAAGGCTTCACATTCAGCCAAGAAATCTGGAAGTCCTCGATGTTGAAGTTTAAGAACCTTCACTGCCACTACCATTTCGTTATGGTCTAGGATTCCCTTATACACATAACCAAAACTCCCCGAACCGATCAAATTTTCTGAAGAGAACCCAGCAGTTGCTTTCAACAGATTCTCATAGGACACTTGCAGAAGTGAAGCCAACAATGGTGATGCAGAAGAGGAATCCCTTTTCATTCTTCTCCACCAGCGAATAATTATCAAACATAACATTATAGTCAGCAACAAAATTCCGACAATGATGGGAAATATCACTGTTTTTGAAATAGACCGAGTTTGCTTTGATCCTTTGATGGGACACTTGGATAAATGTAACTCGGTTATGCCACCACAAAGCTTATCATTTCCCGAAAGTGAAATAGCACTTGCATTGTTGAAGATTCCTCCAGTTGGTACTTCACCCTCAAAGTCGTTGTTAGATAAATTCAAGTTCATCAAAAAGGGAAAGCTCACTAAAAATTTGGGTATTTGGCCAGACAAGTTATTGGATGAAAGATCAAGACATTCAATGCCTCTCAAAGAACTCATGGATGATGGAATACTCCCTTGAAAGAAATTACCATTTATGACTAGTTGTTGCAAGCTAATGCAACTGCCTAAACTATAAGGAATTTCACCAAACAATTTATTCTCAGATATAGCTAGAAAACCCAAATTTGTAAGGTTACCAACATTTAAGGGTAGAGAACCAGTCAATTGGTTTCGAGACAGATCAAGAGTAATTGACAAGGATGAGAGATCAGTTACTTCAGGGGGTATGGTACCACTTAGATTGTTATCAGCTAGATCTAATACTACTAAATTTGTGCATCTCCCAAGGCTTGATGGAATGGTCCCCTGTAAGTTGTTTCTCTCCATGGTTAGCTCACTTAACAATGTTAGATTACCAAGGGAAGATGGAATTTTCCCCGAGAACCTATTCCCATGGAATTGCAAATCTTGTAGCTTATGTAGGTTCCCAATACTGCTGGGAATATGGCCCGTGAATCGGTTCATCCCTAGTTGTAATGTATCCAAGTTAACAAGATTTGTTATTCCCGTTGGGATGCTTCCAAACATCTGATTTTTCGTAACTGATAGGATTCTGAGTTGGGTTGACAAATTTCCTATAACTTCTGGCAACATACCTCCAAATCTGTTATCACTAATAGCCAGTATCTCTAAGCTCGTAGCATTTTGCAAAGAATTGAGAAACTTCAAGTCATCTTCTTTCCCATATCCTAATTCATTCAGAGAAATACTAACCACGTGTAGTTTATGTAGGTTCTCCAAAGTAGGCACCGTTCCACTAAATCTATTTAGTGGAATCAGAAGTCCCATTAGATTTGAGGCATTGGATATTGAAGGAGGAATGGGTCCCGTCAATTGGTTATCAGTAAAACTTAGCACTTCAAGGTTAGGAAGATTGAAGCCAAAGTCTAAGGGAAGACTCCCATTAAGCTGGTTCTCCTCAAATCCAATTTTCACAAGCGAAGATATGTTATAAATTGAGGGAGGAATCATACCTGATAGCTTATTGCTTCCTAATCCAATAAGTCGAACCCTATTCAACCGACCAAGTGTTGCTGGAATTCTTCCTTCAAATTGATTCATTGAGCCCGAAAGTATCTCAAGGGATGACAAATTTCCGAAGGAAGGTGGCACTTCTCCTGACAGATTGTTGCGAAGTACATAGAGTCCACGGAGCTTTGCCAAAGAGCCAAGCTCCCCTGGAACTTTCCCTACCATCTTATTATTGCCAACAGTAAACCATTCAAGGTTGACACAAGCCGATAAGTTGCTAGGAATTTCCCCTCCAATTGAATTGTTTTCCAGGCCTAAAAACTGTAACCTGAACAAATGACTAATCTCGTGAGGGATTTCACCGCGGAAGTCATTATTTCTGAGATCCAAAACTCTAAGAAAACTTAGATTTCCAATAGATGGTAATAGAGACCCCTGCAATTTTGAACGAGAAAAAAGCAATCTGGTCACCCTTTGGTGACGCCGACTGCATGTAACACCCTCCCATTGGCAAAAGTGATTGGAATCATTCCATGAGCTCAAAACCTGAAGAGGATCATGAGTTACTTTAGCCTTGAATTCAAGAAGTGCAAGTCTATCAGTTTCATTGCCTTTGAGCACAGAACTGGCAGAAGCAACTGAACCATAAGATAGCAGGCTTGACCAAAATAAAAGCAGCAGATAAAAGCTAATAGAGCAAAAAACTATTCGACTCAACATTGAACTATAAGATTAAGAAAACTCAACTTGACAAGATAGCTTCAAAGGCTAGGAACATATAGGCACTCAGGAAAGGCGACAAGTGCATAGAAATATTGAAGCAGTCTGATGCAAATGGCCAGTCTGAGTGCTGGTTGTAAAAGGGCTCCGTGGATTTTTTTTTTTTTTCAATGGATCTAATGACTTAGGACAAAGACTTGACTTATTGACTCATTGTATATCTATAACTTTAATAAAAACTTCCTTGCCGTGTTATATGGTGAGGAAAATTGGTGTCTTGGTCTATGCCGTGAATGATACTTGGGTCCAACACAAGAGCTAAACTTGGATGTTGCAGTACAGGGGAGAGCAAAGGTCAATAAAATTGTATAAAGTAGAATTTTTTATTATTTTATTTTTTAAATTTTATCCTTTTAAGATGCTACACGGAAATAAAAACAGAATAACCACACTATAACACAACATCCTGGTTGAAGAAAGTTTTGGTTAATCAATTCATGCAGAAATTAGGTCTATTCAGTGGCATTAATTAGGGGATATTTGTCTGAGCTTATGAAAATTAGCTTAATATAAGTTTAAATTAGCTTATAAACATTTGAAATTTTAAGCAATTACGTTTTTTGTTAAAATACTTATAAGTGACTAATAAGTAATTGACGTGTTTGGTAAAATGTGACTTATAAGTACATTTTATTATAAAATGACTAAAAAATGTACTACATTAAATAATGGTATACTATGAAATTTTAAAATTAAACAAGGATAATGTGGTAATATACTTGGTCAAACTAACTTATAAGCAGAGTGTTTATAAGAAAAAAAAAAAAAAAAAAAGTATCACCCCCCAACTTATTATTTTTTTTTTTTTTTTGCTTATAAGCTCAACTTATAAGCTCAAAAAAGTTATAAACAAACATATCAATTGCTGCACTTTCCGAATACCCATATTTAACGGCTAAAATTAATGCAATCTTGGTCAATTCGGTTGCCTTTTTCTTAATTTTAAGCGGAAACAAAATAGTCAAGGTCGTAAAAGGTATCCAGGACTTAGATTTTCATGTCTAAAGGAATGAAGAGCTTGAGTTCACAATTATCTTCTTTCTTTACTAGTTTATGCATCCACACTTGCTCATAAAATATTTATCCGTCGATCCATTTTTCAAAACACTTTCGAGTGCTTCGTGCTACACACACGAAATTAGTCAATTTAGAAGTCCATTTTTTTATTTCCAGTGGAACCAACTCTCATATTCTTCTCAGACTGGGTATTATAATTATTCAGGATCGTGAATCTCATTTATAATGGAGTTCTTTTTTCAATTGTTGATTATAGGTGGAGTTCACTATACACTCCTTTCTCAGGAAATCGTATTGTATGTGCCTGTGTGAATTCAATCCTCAATTAATGCTAAATTAACTAAGACAAAGACTTGACTTATTGACTCATTGTATATTTATAACTTTAATAAAAACTTCCTTGCCGTGTTATATGGTGAGGAAAATTGGTGTCTTGGTCTATAATTACCAATCTAATTTTGGATTTTCTGCCGTGAATGACACTCGGGTCCAACACAACAACCAAACTTGGATGTTACAGCCTTACAGGTAAGAGCAAAGGTTAATAAAATTGAATAAAGTATAATTTATTTTTATTTTATTTTATTTTTTTATCCTTTTAAGATGCTACACGAAAATCAAAACAGACTAAAATTAGTATATTTTTGTATAGAAGGTGTTTGGATAATTATAATGTTTTATTAGAAAGAGATATTATATTAACAGAAAGAAAGATCATCTTAAAAATTATTGGGAATGTTTAAAAAACGTGTTTGGTTGGTTCGAATATATTGGTAAATAATATGTTTGGTTGGGAGGATAAACGGGTGAGTATGTTATATAAATTACTAAATTACCCTCCTTTTTAAATATTAATATAATAGTATTTATTATTACTATTTTTTAAATCATTTCTTTTAATCCCTCTACATTTGAAATTTTGCTAAACCACCACAGCCGTGAAACGGCCAGATCTTTGGCTGTGCCATTTCACAACCACATCTTTGGTAATGAAACGACCATAGAAACCCCGATCTGTCCGTTTTTCGACCATGGATCTATGATATATGGCCAGAAAAGACCTTATTAATGCACGACTGATCAGATCCTGCCGCTTGTGCACCATTATAGCGACTGACATTGGCGGGCGGGGTGATGAGTCACGGCGACGGTGGTCTTGGGTGGCTGAGGGTATTTTGTTAACTTTTAAACTTTTTGTGGCTATGACGTTTTAACTAATTTCTCAAATATAACGGGGCTGGGTAATTGTTATTTGGTAGATATTTGAGGGCAATTGTGTTCGAAATTGTTTTTAATTAAGGCAAAATAGGTAGAAAAATCATATTACCCCTTTAATATTTTAAAAACACTCCTTAACAAGGTAATCGGATTACCCCTTACATTACCGACAGTAAACATTATTTACAATAAAAGATTCTCATAATATTTTATTACTTACAAACTAAACACCAGAATCTTACAAAATAAATAAAGATTACCTCTGTTATTTATATACCCCTGATCCAAACACCCTTATAGTGTAAGCAATTATTTCTTAGTGATCATAAATTTTTGAATCATGTTAGATCTTGTTTATAGGATTATAAATGGTATTATTTAAAAGAAAATAGGAACTTATAATTTTCTTTAACTAGTGTTCGTACATTCTCATTGAATCATGGAAAATATTGTTTTCTTTATTATAATACTCCACATATAGTTATTAATATTTGTCAGATATATGAACTCCTATTCAGTGGCTGATCAGGATTTTTGTCTGGGCCTCAGCTCTGCCATTATTTGTCAAATAATTAGTAAAAAATTTCAAAAATCACCGAACCTTAATAGAAAAGAAAATACAATATTAAGAACCTAAGAAAAAAGAATATACAATAACACAATATTTTTTTATTTAAATAAATATATGAGAAGCAAAATTTTAAGTAAAAGTGTTGAGTAAACCTTGAACAAAACCTTCTTTTAATATTTTTATTTTTGGTTTTCAAAGATTATAGTATAAATTTTTACAACGTTGATCAAACCTATCTTAATTAAGCTAAAGTCAACCAAAACTTAAATCAAGTCAACGTTGCGTTGACTTTTAATATGAATTAATAAAATAAGGGAATTTTTTTTAGTATAAACATAGATGGTAACTCAAATTTCTTTAATAATTTTGAACAATTGAACGGTGATGTTTAAAATGTAGAAAAGTGGTGGGTGAAGGGTGAATAATAACGTCCTTTAAAATATAGTTAAAGGTTTAATCTGAGAACGCAGATTCATTCTTAGACAAAAAATACAAAATAAACTCACAAGATTAATATATTTTTCTCTCAAATTAGAATAAAAAACCTCAAAAAGAAAAAAAAATGATTCAATCCTTAAATAAACTAAAATAAAATGAACAATACATATACCTAAAATCGATAAAATAGAAAACAGAGCAAATTATGACACCTTAAGTAGTAAAAATTTAACAATTTCAGTCTTCAAAAAATTTAAGAGCGAATAACATGAGCAAAAGAAAGAGAGAGTAAAGAATTTGAGGATAAAATCATAAAAAAAAAAAAAAGATAAAGCCGTGTAGAAAAACACTGGAGAGAGTTTTAAACTTTTAATATGACGTGGGTTTAAAATATATATATTTTAATAACAAGTTTTTTTGTACACCTAGATATACAGTATGTATAATAATTCTTATTTTTTAAAAATGGTATGTATAATAATTCTTACTTTTTAAAATATGAAGGTGTGTTTGGTTATATGTGTTAATTAACAATTTTTTATGACATGTATATTAATAAAATTTTTTTCCTAATATGAGGGTAGACCCAGGCCTGCCCCCAAAGGGGCTGAATTCGCCCCTACTCCTATTTAATGGAACATTAAGATAAAAATTACAGATGTTATTAAAAAATTAAAAGCAGATAATTAAATCTAAGGAAAATATTTTGTCATAATTCTAACATGAAATATAGACTTTATAATTAATATTACGAGAAGTTATTATGATATTATATCCCCAAAATCTTGTATTTTATAAAATCTAAATTAAATCTTTGGACATGCACGGTACTTCTATGAAGTTTTAGTTTATTATTTATTGTTTGAAAACAAAGAGTAATAAGACTGTTGTATAGAAATACTTCACTCCTCCTATTACGTGATTGTAATTAATTAACGGGTAATGCTATCCTTATTAACGGAACTTATTAACCGTCTTTACCAATTGAGGGTTCAATATGCTCCATCACTCCCCCAAAACTTAAAAAAATAAATAAATAAATAAAAATCTTTTCAAACCAAATTGGAAATATACAACAAATCAAATTCCCTCCCAAATTGTTCAATCCCTAAATCATACTCTCTCCCAAATTTTACAAACCTTAACAATCAAAATTTCTCTAATCATATCTCTCTTTGTCAAAGCCTATTCAACCTTAACCACCACACCAGCCGCGCCTTCTAACAGACCACCACCAGCCAGCTGCGCATTCCAATGCACGACCACCAGCAGTCAACCGCGTCTTCAAAACGACGACCACCTCCATCGTGCCTTTCAAAGGGTATTTTTTGTTTTTTTGTTTGTTGTTCTACTGATTTCTTATTATCAAAAGCTGTTTACTTTGTGTCTGTGATTTGGTTGTTAGATTTGATTTGTAAACTTTGTTGGTATAATTTTTTTTTGATTAGCTCGATAAGTTGTTGGGGGGTGTGTTTGGGTTTTTATTGTTAGGGGGAACGACTTACACATACCCAGAATTTGCTTTAAAGACATTGGTACCCAAAAGGTTTGGAAATGACAAATACCCACTTTCCGTCCAAACCAGTTAGTAAATCTGTTAACTAAAATGGTATTATCGACATTCTATCATTTTTTGTGGGGGTAATTTTGACTTTTTGTGTTTTAAGGTTTGTACTTAAAAAAAAAAAGTTAAAAAAATTGCATTATCTCCCTTCTCTTTCTTCCCTTCCTTCTCCCTCTTTTTCCTCCAGTCACTAGGCAAGAACCCAGCAGCGGAATATGGCCAGATCGAAAGCCTCTCTCCTCTCTCTCTTCCCGTCTCCATCTGTAACATCTACTGAAAACTAGTACAATGCATGCATATTAACAATGTAAAATTGGGCCCAAAGTTTTCTTTTCATTAATAATACATATGTCTTTTATACACAAATAGTACTGTTTACAAAAATGCATTTTAAAAGACAAAACAGGGGAAACAGTGTATCTATTCCTCTTCGCTTGCCGACGCCCCTCCGACTGCGTCATCACCTAGAACCTGCATCCACAAAGGAAAATAACGGGGTGAGCACAAAATAATGCTCAGTAAGTAAACCCTCTAACTGTCTGTCCCCGTATATAACTCTTAACTCTTTCCTTTTCTAATTCTGTTTCTGTTTCTACTAAATACCATGTCCTCATCTTACCGGAGGTACGGCCGGATGGCGTTCACACAGCACCATCTCACTCTCCATAACTTCGGGTGGAATTCACATAGTACCAACGTTCTTAGTGACTACCAAGTGGGATCACAAAGCTCCTACTCGGTTTTCCTAACTATCGGGTGGAGCCACTTAGCGCCTACCCGTTCCTCATGACCTTTGGATAACGATCACCAAGCATTAACTCGTCTCTAGTCACTGTCGGTGATGATCACAAGCATCAACCCGCTTCTACTAACTGTTGGATGATGATCACAAAGCATCAAGCCACTTATCTAATAACTAATTGGGTAGTGATCACAAACCACCTACCCATTTCTATTACTCATGGGTGCGATCACAAAGATCGACCCATCTCTAGGGCTATTCGGATGATGATCACAAAGCATCAATCGATTCCATAACGGTTGGGTGATGATCCAAAAGCATCATCCCAACTATACTACTCTTCTAATTCATTCTATTGTAGTATTTCTCAATGCTCTCTACCCTTAGAGTAGTTGTACCCACCAAGCTCTCTAATAGGGTATTTGCACACACAATTCTCTTACACTTTCTTAGGTCACTTTTCCATGTACAACTGTGCCTGGATGGTTCAACTTCATCAATGCACTTATGAGATGCCAACATGCAATGTTGCAAGAATTAAGGTTCATATCACCACTCAAACCTCTATTAGGCATTTCATAAACAACTCATGTGCACTATAAAACTCTATTATAGCATGATTCTAACATTTTCTTAACCATCCAAAATGGGGAAAAACCCCTTCCCAAAGCCATGAAAACCTGTCAAACAAGACACTTCAAAAAGGGTTCATAACACCCTTCAAATCCATCTCAACTACCTTGTCAACCCAACAACCCATTTCTCATATTTGCAAGGTATTAACATTCACAAAGCAAGAAATCTCCATTTAATACTCCATACATGGATATTACATGCACCTCACATACATACATCATTTCTATCAAAACCCTAATCAGAAATTTCATGAATCTCAACTTGGGTTGGGTCTTACTTACCTTGTTATGGAGAGACTTCACAAACTCTTCTTTCCACTGTTTAGTTGACTTTCCCTATAAACTTAACAAAAGAATGAAAACCCTCAAACTTCAATATGGGTTAAAACTCCCAAATCACACAACTTAAGTAGAGATTCTTACCTTAGGGAGCCTTAGGTTGCTTTTCCACCTCAAATTACTTCAAAAACCCCTTGGAATTCCTTGATCAAAAGAGAAGAGAAGTTGAGAGGAAGAAGAATGAAGAGTTGCGTTTGAGAAGAAGAAATGAGGGGTTTCTTTGATTCTAATTCCTTTTAATGAAATAAAAACACAATCATTCCCATTTTGCCCTTACTCTTCTTTGGGAATTCCATCTATATCCTTTGATTCATTACAAACTCACCCCCATATCAACACATTCTCCATGAAAAATCCTTACAATTAACTCCCCACTCTTCCTGCTAATTAGGGGTAGAATGGTCAAATTGCCCTTAGGGAAGGAAATATCTAAAACTTGACCAACATTAAAATCGGCCCGTCGCCGCGGCGAAACCGTCCAGAGAGTTTCCGGTGGTTTCAACATATCTTCGCCGCGGCGAAGATTCTTCTTCGCCCCAGCGAAGCTCGGCAACAACACTTCTTCCATTTTTAACCCATTTCAAGGCTATTAATCCACACAACACTCATACTAATGTCAATCAAACAATATTAACAAAAACCAACTCGATTAAGGGCGAAAGAGGAAACAATAACAATACCTCAAGCGGGGCGTTACACCATCTTCTTCATCTCTCTCATAAAAGGGCAAAAAAATGGGGTTTTTTGCAAAGCTGTCGCACTTCCCCACCCATTTTCCGGAAGCCCCGTCACCGAAAACCTTTCCTCTCCCCGCCAATCGTCTTTTCAGTGTGCCCTCTCCAAAACCCCCATTTTTCCCGTCGTCGTTTGCTCACATTTCACCGCCCATTGAATTCCTAGGGTTTTTGTTGTTTGTTGAATTGGGATTGATTGGTGTTTTTCGGAGTTTTTGATGAGAAATTGATGTTGGAGATTAATTGGGAGTGTTTTTTTCTGTGTTTTTGTTTGATTTTTGGGGATTTCTGATCGGTTTTGGCATTGATGACTGATTTTCCAAGTTTTGGCACACAACTTGTTTGAGGTTTTGCCCCAAACCTTCTGTGCCTTGCGTGTTCTGGTTCTTTTTAGTGTTTGAGAGTGATTCTTTGGGATTTTTTGCATTGAATCTTTTGGTGATTTGAGTGAGGTTTTTTTGGGGCTTTGGTCGTTTTTGCTGCTGGTTGTCCTGTGGTTCTGGCGAGAGATGAAGACAAGATTTTAATTCAAAATTAATTATAAAAATAAAATAATTAAAATTGAGAAGAAATATTTTTATAAAATTAATATTAAAGAGAGAAATTGGGCAGAATGTTATATTTTTTTGTTGGATATAAAATTACCATATTATCCTTTTTTAAACTAACTTTACTAACAGATTTGGACAGAAGGTAGGTAATTGACGTTTTCAAACTTTTTGGATACCACATTGTCTAGCAAACTATGGGTGGGTGCATGTGGTTCGGCCTTTATTGTTATGTAAAGTTTTTGTGATGATGGTTTATTCATGTACCACCATCACCAAAACTTCTACGGGATGCCCAGCTAATGGGAGCTCAAATTAATAAATAAATGCCTTAATGGGACCCTGCTACGGTCCTCCAGTTCCAACTTCTAATCAAATGTAAATGCTTTCTTTGGAGTCACTTTTATAAAGCTTTTGTTTTTGCCTTTGTCTATTTTATTAGTTTTTGACTTGTTCATGACGTTACTAGAAGGTTTTTCTATCTGGGTAATTTGATTATTTGAATCATGTGGTTGCTAATGGAGTATAATAGCATTTCTAGTTTTATTTGAGAATTGTTTGTCCAGTGTCTGTGTTTGCTGCTTTTTCAGGAGATGTTTTATGCTTTCTGCAGTGTGTGTTTGCTGCAGTTTGTATAGGCTGTCCAGTGTGTGTGTTTGCTGCTGATTTTGGTTGTTGGTTACAGGATGGTGGGACTGGTAATGCTGTTTTTTGCTCCCTTTTGCTGCAATTGTGTTGTTGCCGAGGAAGTGATATAGCTTGGTTGAAGATGCAGCAGCTTTTAGCAATTTTTGTTTGCTGGCAGCAGGACCTTGGTGATGGAGATGCTCATGCAAGTTGTCCTATCCCACTCTTTTCTATCATCATTTTGCTAGATCTAAATTTCCACTAAGGTTAATTTTTATTTCATTTTATAAACTACTAAAGAACTCATGAAGGAAAAATGTATTAGCTAAATCAACTATCTAAATGCGGAGTGAACCAGTCACAGTCACAGAGTCATGGCCAGAATTTGCATCCTTTTGTTTCAAGGATAGAAGATGGTGGTGGGCTGATGTTGCTGTTGCTGGTTCCAATACCTCCTGCTCCACTGAACACACTCTTCACATGAGTTCACCTTCTTACAAGTAATATTTCAAGCAAAAAGATTCCCGAAAACTAATTCTGATAAATATATGTGTGTGAATGATACTAAATATATGAAAATTAATATAAATATGAGATTCTTTTACTTTTGATAATAAACTAGTATATAAAATAACAATAATGGTAGGGACACCAAAAATTTTACACCGAAAATGTATACCGGCCTACGTGTAACACGCATCTGATTTGTTTTACAAATTTTTTCTAGTGAACGGCCGTCCATCAAATTTGGACGGCCGTTCACTCACATGAACGCCCGTCCATATTATATGGACGGGCATTCATATACAAAAGACGGGCATCCTCATTTAAAGGACGCCCGTCCATAAATAAAATATGAAATTATAAAAAAAAAAAAAAAAAACTTTGGGGACGGCCGTCCCTTATGTTTGGACGGGCGTCCATTCCGTCCATACTTATAAAAAAAAAAAAGTTTGGACGGGCGACCATTCCACACTTTAAGAAAAAAAAAAAACATTTGGACACTTTAAAAAGAAAAAAAAAAATTCGTCTTCTTCATCTTCATTCCCCAGCTCCTGGGTTCTCATGTTAGTTCTTCGTCTGATCATTTTGTTGTACAAGAAATTATAAGAATTGA